CATGAGGTCGGCCTTCAGTGCACTGAGAAAGGCCAGGGTTCAGACTGTTAAAAGGGGAGCCAGGTGTGATAGCCCACACTCAGGAGGCTGAGGCAGGAGGATCGCCGTGAGTTCGAGGCCTGCCTGGCCTACCTGGTGAGACTCTGTCTTAAAAATCCAGAGAGAGAGAGAGAAGCCGCTGACACCCAAGCAGCAGCACAGATGCGCAGCGGCCCGCAGTCACCTGAGGCTGCTCAGCACCCTGGGTGTCGGGCTGGTGGATCCAGGCCCGGGGGTGCGCTTCTCTCCAGTGCGGGTGCTGGGGGCGTCCGAGCTGGGCCGCTGTGCTGAGAGCCTGCCGTTCTCCAGTGGTCACCCCTTGATAAGGGCTGTGAGGACACAGGCGGATCTGGGGGCCTGGAGGAAGGGCTTGACATGAGGCCAGGACGAGGGCCGGCTCACCCTGGAGCCAGGCTGGCCTGGAGCTCACGGCGATCCCCCTGCCTCAGCCTCCTGAGCGCAGGGATGAGGGGTACCCTCCTGGTGACACTGGCTCGTGAGCTCAGAGTACAGGGGGCTTGGCCAGCTGGGACCCGTGGCCCTGGAGGTCTAAGCTCACGGGAGGCCGTGGCGGGGTTGAGCTCTCAGGGTTGCCACTGGCTGGTGGCTCCCTCCCGCCTTGGGCCGGGCCCAGCGGCCTCCAGGGGTCCTGAGCTCCAGCCAGGCAGCAGCACCGGCTCGGGTGTCGGGTGTCACGTGCCGAAGTACAGTATGGGGCGGCCGGAAGGAGCAGCGCTGTGTGTGGGCTCCCTGCCCCGGAGCTGCCGGTCCTGCCCAGGGCGACCAGGGCGAGCAGGGCCCGCCGTGCCGGCCCGGCTCCGCGATCTTAACCACTGTTCTCCAGCGCCTGGGTTCTGGAGTTGCTATTTATAGGACAAAGCCTGTATTTTTGAAATTTTGAGGAAGGAAAATTAGTCTCACTGAAATCCAATTTTGCATCGCTCCTCCCAAGCTATTTTTACATCTGGAACTTGTGTTTAGAGAAAACCTCCAGCCTGGCCTTCCTTCCCCGTGAGAGTCTGGCCGGGGGTGGTGCCTTCGTTTTGGCAGGGGCTGCGGGGAGGGCATCTGCCCTTGACCCCACTTGCTGTCTGAGAAATGGTGTGATCTTTGTTTTGGTTGGTTTTTTGAGATAGAGTCCTGCTATGTATCTCAGGCTTGTTTTGACATCGGTCCTCCTGCCTCAGCCTCCCAAGTGCTGGAATTACAGGCACGCGCCACCCCAGCCAGTACTGCTTGTGGGGGCGGGCTTTTTGAGACAGGATCTCCTGCTGTCTCCTGTTGTCAGAACCCAGGAGCTGGAGAACACAGTGGTTAAGATCGCAGAGGCAGGCCGGCACGGCGGGCCCTCGTCCCCCTGGGCAGCCTTAAACTCTCTATGTGGCCCAGGCTGGCCTTAAGCGCTCAGTGACCCTCCTGCCTCAGCCTCCTGAGTGCTGGAATGACAGGCGTGTGCCCACACGCAGGGGGTAGGAGGTACTATTCATAGTGCTGCTGGAACAACAGGTGTGAGCCGGGGCTGTGCCGGGCCAAATAAATACACAGTCACCGTTGCTGTGAGTTGCCTGGCCGGTCTGAGCCTGAGGCCCTTCCAGCCTGTGTGTTTCTGTGGCGGAGCAGACTGCCCGGGAGCCGAGGGCGTTCGGGTTCGCCTGGCTTTCGGGTTTGGTTTGGTTTTCTGAGCCCGGGTCTGGCTGTGTAGCCCCGGCTGGCCTCGAGCTCTCGGGACGCGGTTGACTGCTGAGGGAGAGCCGCGTGTCCAGGCCGTGTGACTGCAGCCCTCGGTGCAGCCAGTCCCTACCGTTGGGTCTTCCCCGAAGGGACAGCCTTGGCGCATGTGCAGTTTCCTCTCCCAGGGTGTGGGCGCTCCTGTCCTGACCGAGCGGGCGACTCTGTGGCCCTCGCTCACCCCGAGGGCGAGCCGGATGCTGACCTTCTGTCCGTCCGGCCTCCTAGAGTGGCCGCGGGTGCAGGGGCAGTTGGAGCCATTCTGTGGAGGGGAGAAGATGCTTCATAGCCTTTTACTTCTTATTTATTTATTTTTATTTTATTTTATTTCGGTTTTTTGAGACAGGGTCTCACTATGCAGTCTAGGCTGGCCTCGAACTCCTGGCAGTCTTCCTGCCTCCTGAGTGCTGGGATGACAGGTGTGCGCCACCACGCCTGGCTGGAACATCTCATAAGCCTCAGGACCCCGAGATGTCCCCTGCTCCAGTCCCTACCCGGTTTAGAGAGCTGGTGTCCCTGAAGTCTGGTGTCCCTGGAGGGTTTTGCGTACGTCCACAGGGTCACCCCACGCTGTTGGCAAAGCAGCCGTGATGCTCACTCGGTATGCGGAGTCACGGTTCTGTGTCTGCGTCATGGACGGCCAGGCAGACTTGAGGCAAGGCCGAGGTTCCCAGCACTCGGGAGGCTGAGGCAGGAGAATGTCTTGGGTTCCTGGGCTGCATGGTGGGACCCTGGCTCAGCGACCTCACACCCCCACAGTGGAGCCTGCGAGGTCTCCTTTGTGGAGTAGCGCCAGCCCCTCAGAAAACTCCTCCTCTTCCCCATGTTCTCTGTCCCTTACCAGGTGCAGGGTCCGAATCGCATGGGAGAGTCTTGGACGTTCATAGTTGCACTTTCATGGACAAATATCCTCCCAGCAGATTGTTCCTCTGTATTTTACATGAATAATCTGTCAAGAGACGAACCTGTTCTGATGCATAGGATTTCATCTATTTGTTAAAATAGTAATGATACCCAGAAAATACAGTGGTGGTTATCTGTGGATATTGACCTTGTAGATGATTTTTTCTGCATGGCAGTTGTCAAAACAGCAATATAAATTATTTTTGTGATTATTGAAAGGTCTGCAGCCTGGCATGGTGGTGCTTGCTTGTCCTCCCAGCACTCAGGAGGCTGAGGCAGGAGGATCACTGCAAGTTTGAGGCCAGCCTGGGCTCCATAGTGAATTCAGGCCAGTTTGAACTATGTAGGGAGACCCTGGTTCAAAAGCCCCCAAAATAAATGAATAAATAAAAAGGTGGGTAGTGAAAGGGATTATTTCCCTAAAGACCCAGAGTGGGTGTGAGAAAGGAAGTGAAAGTCCTCCTAAGTTTTCCTTAGAAGCCTGGTGACCCGTGTGTCTGTAAGGGTGCGTGAGGGTGGCCTTCCCTTCTGATTTGTCCTGCCAGGGCCCCTTCATCTTCCAGTTTTGCTTTGTTTGAGACAGAGTCTTGCTGTGGAATCCATGCTGGCTTAACTCACAGCAACCCTCCTGCCTCAGCCTCGCAGTGCTACCACGCCCTGCTCATCCTCGAGGCCTTGCCTGGGGCGGTGTTGCGTTTGGTTTCTGCCGGCTGTGGAGGCCTGGAGGTTGGGGGTGGGGCGGTGCTCTGGGTTGTCCTCACCCGAGCTTTGCAGTTGTCGTTTCATTCTTGGTCGTTTCGTTCTGTCTGGAGGGCCTTTGGAGTCCGCTGTGTTTCCCAGAGCCTGTGTAATTTATTGACTTTCTACACGGTCGGGGTATGTGAGGCCTACACAACACGGTGGCCGCAGTACAGTTTTACCTAATGCACGCCTGTAGTCCCAGCACATGGGAGGCTGAGGCGGGAGGATCATTGCAGAGTTCAAGGCCAGCCTGGGCTATGAAGTGAGCTCAAGGCCAGCCTGAACTGCACAGCGAGACCCTGTCTCAAAAAGACACACACACAAACAAAAACCCAAAAAACACAACAAAGCAAACCCAAGGGCTTCTCCCAGTGGCGGCCGGCGTGGTGAGAACTCGGGAGCTGTGGGCAGCAGGCCGGGTACAGAGGGGCTGCCTGGCTGGCGACAACAGGCTCGGCCTCACCAAGGTCTTGGGAGGTTTACGGGCGCCTGTCGCAACATGACCCTCCCGGCAGGACCGAGGCAGAGGGATTTACGGGCGAGCAAGGAGGGCGTAGCTAGCAGGAGACCTGGCTCGGTGGAACCACTGTGCGCCTCACATTTTATTGTGCTTCTTACCTGGGCTCCAGCTCCGGCCCTGCTTTTCCTGAGGTGGGGCTCACTAAGTCATTAAAGTGCCAGGGCTGGGCTTGGAATTTATGGTCCTCCTGTATCAGCCTCCCAGAGTGCTAGGGTTACAGGCCTGCCCTCCACGCCCACAGGGGTTTTAGCGTGGGGCAGGCTGCAGGTGTGCGCCCCCACCCCCCACCCCAGGGAATTTCCGAGCTCTGAGTGTGCTTCTGAGTCCCAACCCCCGAGGGCGGGTGGGTCTCCTCTGTCCCCGAGCCATCCAGAGGGACTTCGCTCTAGGGAGACCAGTGTGTGGAGAGAGGACCCCTGGCCTGGGTATCATCACTCAGCTGCCTGCAGCGTCGCATGGTTTTCAGAATCATCATGTCTTTCCAAAACTTCCCTGCCAGTAGCTGTACTCTGTGGATACCTCAGCATCCTTACCTTTTCCACATGTGTGTGCTCGCCTGTGTGTCCGTGTGTGTCTGGGGGGGAGGGAGAGGGAGAGACAGGGTTAGTGTGTGGCCCAGGCTGGCTTCAGACTCCCCTCAGCCTCCGAGTGCTGGCCTGTGGTGGTGAAGTCCTACCGGAGCTTCCTCGGGCTGTGTCTGGGACTCAGGGCGGTGGGAGCTCCGTCCCCTCCAGCAGGGTGAAGCCCCTGGGGGGCAGAGGGGAGTGAGGGCCGCAGCAGGGGACTGAGGAACGGCAGGGAGATGGTCACTGCTGCATCCCAGGAGCACGTGAGTGAGCACGGACCGCTCCGGTACTGCCTGTCCCCACTGCCTGGATGTGATGGCTTTTCTGTTGGATTAAATGTTTCGGGCCTGGGGCCGCACCCCTGTAATCCGAGTACTCGGGAGGCTGAGGCAGGAGCATCGACACTTAAGAGGCCAGTCTGGGCTCCGTTTCGAGACCCTGTCTTAGAAAACCCAAACACAAAAAACAGAATAAGGAAAGCAAAGCGCTGGACCGCCCGCGAGTGAAGGCCGTTCTCCGTTGTGTCTTGCAGGGATATCAGCATGAACAACATTACACAGCTGCCGGAAGACGCATTTAAGGACTTCCCGTTCCTGGAGGAGCTGTACGTCTGCCTCCGCCGACTCGGTCTGCAGTCGAGTCCCGCCCTGCGGCCGAGGGCGGCCGGCTGTGTGCCCAGGGAGCCGGGGCTTGGGGCGGGGCGGCTTAATTTTTTTGTGCAGTGTGGTTACTGAAGTTAGTGTGGACACCTGCGGCCTCTGGGGCGGGGTGGATGGGGCGGGCAGCTGCTCGCGCCAGTGGCCCCGGTTCCGAGTGTGCAGGGCCCCCGGCAGGCGCTGGCACCTGCAGGTCTTGCGGAGGCCCGGCTGCATGCACCAGGCCGGGGGCTCCCCGCCCAGGCGCGTGGCCGGTGAACAGTGCGTTTCGGAAGCCTTTTCTCAGCTTGTCTCAGCCCGGTCCTGTTTTGCTTCCGCTCGGCTTTGCCGCCCGGGATGGGAACCCTGGCCCCCGGTTTGTGGGGGAGCTGGAAAGGGACAGTTCCGTTTCGGGACCTGTCGGAGAGTGAGACGGGCTCAAGTGCGTTCAGAGAGGGGTTAAACGCAGTGCTTGGACTGCGTAGCGCAGGGTGGAGCAAGGTGACGCCTGATACCGAGGACACCAGAGATGGGTGGCGCCCAGATTCGGAGTTCACACCACAGCCGGCCGGTGGTGCCTGCGGGCCTCCAAGCACTCGAGAGGCTGAGGCAGGAGGGTCGCTGTGAGTTTCAGGCCAGCCTGGGCCGCACAGTGAGACCCTGTCTCCAAAAACCAAAACAGAGTAATTCTTATTTCAGATGCATCCCTCAGTCCAGCTGCGTCCCCCTGAGCTCGGCCTCTCCCCAGGACAGGAACAGGCCCAAGACACCTTGGTGCGCAGGTTGTGTTCCCACCCCTGCCCGCACTGGACCGGCATCTGGGGGTGCTGGAGCAAAGGAGGCTTTCCCTTCCCACGCTGCTCAGCTGGGCCCCGCCACCCCACCCGGAGCAAAGCTCTGTGCGGATTACTTGCCACGGGCAAGTTTGTGAATTGGGTCAGGTTTCTTTGCTTTTCTCTGCTCATTGCTTTTTCTTTTCTTGGTCTATAAAGTAAGGTAATAATCATCCCTTCCTCAAAGACAGAGCGGAAGAGTACATAATCCAGGTGTTATGCAAATGCCGGCCCGTGTTGATTTCGCTGCTCTAAAACTGCAGTGTACCAAAACTGGTCCGTTCAGGTGGAAGCACTATGCGCACGTTCTGTTTCATTTCTGCCGTCTGTATCTTCTCTGTGATGAACAGGGTTTGATAATAATGTGTTTATTTTTTAAATCAGGTGAGGGCCGGGATGGGGCTTGGTGGTAGAGCTCAGTAGAGCTCTTACCTAACAGGCAGGAGGCCCAGTTCCAGCCCAGCACAGCAAAAGAAAAATAAATAGCCAGGCATGGTGGCACACATGTGTCGTCGCAGCTCTCAGGAGGCTGAGACAGGAAGATCCTCGAAAGTTCGAGGCCAGCCTGAACTGCACAGTGAGACCCTGTCTGAAAAAGGCAGAAAAAGAAGAATGCAGAGGCTTTCTCGGCCCCGCTGTAGAGTAACCCAAGTCACACTTACTCTACGGTGACCAGGCGTCTAGCGGGGCTGGGTCACATGAGGCAGGAGGGGAAGTTACTGACACAGTTGGCAGCTGTGTTGAGCTGGGCTCCGCGGGTGTGGCGGGGGGCCTGCAGGGTGGGCCCAGTGGGGTCTGGCGTCCTCCTGGTGGTGGCCACTGGAAACGGTCAGTGGGAGAAGCCAGGGAGCCTGGGGGCATCTGGGGTCGGCACGGAAGGAGGCAGAGCACATGCAGCCAGAGACCCGCAGGTCTCGGCCTCCCGAGCTCCAGAACCGTTTCTGCCAGGCCGGGACGGCAGCTCCAGGCCAAGAAGTTCATCAGCAGACCAGCATGGGCAGAGGGCCCGTCTGGAGTAGATGGGGGCCCTGAACAGTGGGCACGAGGGGTGGGGACCTGCTCGCCGGAGGATGGCGTGGAATGCGCAGCCTGAGTGGGGAGCCAGCAGCCCAGGTCCCGCCCCGACCGACAGAAAGCCATCACCTCCGGAAAACAGACTCAGCCGCGCCTCACACCGTGTCGCGCCTCACACCGCGTCGGGAGCAGCAAGGCTCCAGACAGCCGAGTCTTGAAAGTGGCCGGCGTGTCCGTGGCAGCCGAGGCTCAGGAAGAGAAGGCGGCGTGGGGTGGCCGCGAGGCGCCTGGCGTGCCTGTGGGCCTGGCTGTCCGTGTGACCCAGCGCCCTGCTCGGCTCAGCTCGTGCCCGCTGCCCCTTCGCTGGGCGCCGTCTCCGAAATGGGGACCGGGGCTTCGAGGCGTTGCCAGCGCATCTGCGTCCTTTTGGTCACTTTGCTTTTTGGGCCGTTTGGAGACAGAGTTTCACTGTGTCGCCCGGGCTGGGCTTGAACCCACCACAGCCTCCTGCCTTGGCCCCCTTAGGGGTCACAGGCACGCGCTGCCATGCCCGGTATTTGCATTTGTCCAGGAAGCAGCACTTTGGGCTACTTTTTCATCTTCTCCTTGTCCACTGAGCCTTCCGTGGAGGACTGCCCGCTGGCATCCTAGGCACGCGCTGCCATGCCCCTCTTGGGTCTGGCTTTAAGAGGATGCCCAAGGAGACGAGGAAGGACCCGACTCCTTCATCACTCCCTCGGGAGGTGGCCGCGCCCTCCCCCTCCGTGCTCCAGCTCCGGCCTGCTCCAGCTCCTTGCTTTCACTGCGGGGCTCGGCCCAGCCTCGAGCCTGGCTTTGCTGCAGCCTTGGCCAGCGCAGGGGACCCAGCCGCACGTTTCTTGTCTGTTAGGAAACCACACCAAGCCAGGCACACACCTGCCCTCCCAGCACTGGGGAGGCTGAGGCAAGAGGATCGCTGGGAGTTCAAGGCCAGCCGAGCCTAAACAGGGACAGCCCATCTCAAAAAAAGGGGATATGGTTCAGTGGCACACTGCCTGCCTAGCAAGCCCAAGGTCCTGAGTTTGATTCCCAGTACCAAACATAAAAAAATGCACAGCAAATGCCAGGTATGGTGGCGCATGCCTGTAATTCCAGCACACAGGAGGCTGAGGCAGGAGGATCATTGTGAGTTCAAGACCAGCCTGGGCTACAAAGTAAGGTCAAGGCCAGCCTGAACTGCAGAGTGAGACCCTGTCTCAGAAAGACAAAGAAAAAAAAAAAATGCACAGTGAGCCCTTCTCTGAAGTTCTGCTTCTGACCGCTGCTCCTGAGGTTGTGGAGGGACTTCCGCCAACACCTCGGCACTGCATGTTTAAAGAAAGCCTCCTGTCCGGCCCGACTGCCCCAGCGGGTCCAAGGTCGCCTAGCGGGGGTCGAGGTCCTGACCCGAGGAGACGCTGCCGAGCCAGTGCCACTTCGGACCAGGTGCTGAACTTTAAGTCTGAAGCTGCCTTTCTCTTGCTCCTTTCCCCAGACAGCTGGCCGGCAACGACCTCTCCTTCATCCACCCGAAGGCCCTGTCGGGGTTGAAAGAGCTCCGAGTCCTGTGAGTACAGCAGCCGCGCCCTCTGCGCCCACGCTTGGAGTGGGGAGCCTGGGTTCTTCCAGTGCGGGGTGAAAAGATGCGGGGAGCGGCCGGGGTGCCTGGAGCCCCCGGGCAGACGGTGGTGATGGGGTAACAGGCGGCCCTGGGTCCCTGGCGACACAAGTTTGGGCTGTAAGCAGGGGGCCGCCCTGGGGTGACAGCTGTGGCCTGGGGCTGGAGGTGTGGACACCAGAACCTGTGTGCGCAGGGAGGACCTTGGAGTTGGTCCCCTGGTCACGAGACAAGCAGGTGACTGGCGCCCTTTGCGAGCACCTGGCCAGCGGGAAAAGGTCACCGCAGGGGCCACCCCGCCCCGCCCCTGGGCTGCAGTGTCCCAGGTGTTTTATCAGCAGGGAGGGGGTGGCTTTGCCCAGAAAGCAGACCCAGCCCCGGTGCTTCCTGTCACCATGGTGGGGCCTCTGTCCCTGCCCTGGTCCTGGGCCGTCAGACCCTTGCTCCTCTCCCCGCAGGCAGGGGCTCTGAGGCCAGGTCAGGTCCCAGCTCCTGCTTTATCCCAGCGTGCAAACAAATCTCCTCCCCGCAGCGCGCTGGGTAGACCTCTCAGTGACGCTCAGCACTGTGCAGGAGGCCGAGCATGGGGGCACAGGCCTGTGATCCTAGCTCTCAGGAGGCTGAGGCAGGAGGATCACTTCGAGTTGAGGGCCAGCCTGGGCTACATAGTGAGTTCAGGAGCAGCCTAAAATACGTAGTGAGACCCTTGTCTCAGAAAAAAATAAAAATAAAAACACAGTGCCCTGGGCGAGGGCCTTCCATCCCGACCCCTGCAGGCCTGGCTGCACGGGCCTGGTTCGAGGCGGCCCGGGGCAGCAGCCTGAGTTTCCTTCTGGTTCTGCAGCCAGCTTTGCAGTTCAGGCCTTGGGTGCTTCCCACCGCTGCCCCACCTTTCTCCCTCCTTGCCATCAGAAACGCTTTCGGGAAACTAAAGGGTTCCACAGTCGGCTAAGGAAAAAAGAAGCCAGCCGCCGCCTGTTAATCACTGAGCAAACATTCCCTTGCAGCACCCTGCAGAACAACCAGCTGAGGACGGTCCCCAGCCAGGCCATGCGGGGCCTGAGTGCCCTGCAGTCCCTGTGAGTAGCGCTGCCGCCCTGCGCCAGCCAGGCACGGATCCGCGGGGGGAGGGGCCGCCTCCTGCAGGGGCCGCGCGGGCTGCAGTTGAGTCCTGTGACCCGGGAGGTGCTGGCGCTGTCGTCTCTGGGCTTGCTGTGCGGACTTGTGCAGGCCAGGGGACTTGTGCAAGGCGGCCACCACAGCTCTCTGACCCGAGGTTAGGCGTGTACGGAGCTCCTAACACCTTGTGCCAGGTGCAGGGAGAACCAGTTGATGGTAATTCTTCACTGTGTACACTGAGGTGTGCTAGTGATAACGCCTGAGCTGCCTCCTTGCCTGATTTCTATTTCCCTATCTACCTATATCTGTTTATCTGAGACAGGTTCAGGCTGGCCTTCAAGTCACCGTGCACCTCCAGCTGGCTTTAAACTCACAGCAGTCCTCCTGCCTCAGCCTCCCAAGCACAGCCAGGACAGGCGTGTGTGCCACCACGCCCAGGTCCTTCAGGTTTTCTTTTTTGGAAAAGGTTGGATTGCATGCGGCGCACACAGGTGTTAACTCCGCCGTGCAGCCGTGGTGTGAGAAGCCGTTAGATGGCCTGCCGGTCTGTGTTGGTTCTTTCTGTGCAGCTGATTTTCTGTATAAACCCTACCTGCGCGCGCTCCCTGCGTTACAGGGCAGGGTAGGGGGGAGCCCGTGACCACCTGGCTTTCAAACAACTCGCCCAAGGTCCCACAGCCGGGAAGGGCAGCTGCGGGTTCCCAACCGGACAGACCTGTTTCCCAACTCCAATTAGCTGAAGTTCTTCTGAGAAATCCCAGTCCTTAAATAGGAAGTGAATGTGCAAATTAAAGTGTGTTCTAGCGAAACACCCATCGTAAAAGTTAAACTTTAAATTGTCGCTGTCATAAACCGCGAGCAGCCGGCGTACCGGCCACTGAGTTTCTGGTCCAGCTGGAAGTTCAGAGTAAAAGCTTTGGAGAGGGGAGCTGCTCGTAACCCAGCACTGGGAAAGGCTGAGGCGGGACAGTGGCCATTTCAAGCCCAGCCTGAGTAATGTAGCAACAGGACCCTGCCTCAGAGTTAAAATGCTTTTAAAAACGGCTGGGGAGGCAACTTAGAGGAAAGTGCTGGGCGCGTTTAATAACCCGTGTTGTGGGGAAAAAAAGTTTCAAAAAGAAAAAGTGGCTCACTTTGTGTAGATGATACGTTATGGGTATAAGGAATTGTTGATCACTGCAGCTAATTAGGTAGAATCACGTAGGCTTCAATTAGAATTTTTTTAACTATGTTTATTAATTCACTGTTTCTCTTATTGGTGAGTTAGAGGTAGAGAGAAAAAAAGAGACCTTTTGATTACACTAAGTATTTACTGTGTATTGATAGCATAGACTTACTTTTTTTGTTTCATTTTTTGAGACAGGTTCTTATGGAATCCAGACCTTGAACTCACTATGTAGCCCAGGCTGCATACGTAGTGCTTGAACTCGTAGTGATCTTCCTGCCTCAGCGTCCTGAGTGCTGGGATGAGAGGCGTGCGCCACCATGCCTGGCTCAATAGAATAGACTTGCGACAGTCATTAGCAGTAGACAGTATGATTTTGTTATTACAATTTTATTGAAGATAAGAAATTAAAAATAATGTGCATCTCAGATGTAAACTAGGTTTTTGAAAACAGGAAGTAGAAGCACATTCTCAAAACTAAAAAATGCAGTTAATACTTTGTCAAACTCTGCACAGTATAATTTCGTTTAAACAGTAGTCAATAGCCAGGCCTGGTGGCACAAGTCCCTCTGCCCAGCACTCAGGAGGCTGACGCAGGAGGATCGCTGCAAGCTCGAGGCCAGTCTGGGCTACACGTTGAGACCTCCTGTCAAAAAAACATGAAGTGGTTGGGTGTGGTGGCACATGCCCGTAATCCCAGCACTTGGGAGGCTGAGGCAGGAGGATCGTTGTGAGTTTGAGACCAGCCTGGGCTACAAAGTGAGCTCACGGCTGGCCTGAACTGCACAGTGAGACCCTGTCTCAAAAAGACAAAAAAAAAAAAAAAGTGAGCTCAAACTGAGCCTGAACTGCAGAGGGACACCCTGTCTCAAAAAGACCAAAAAAAAAAAAACCAAAACATGAAGTGGTGGAACCCGAGGCGGCCCAGTCATCTCCTACGGGCACCGCCTCATCCCCTCCCTGTCCTTGTGTGGGTGTGACTCAGGTGCCTTGGAGCCTGGCCCAGCCGGGGTCACTGCCCCTGACGGGCGTGCCCGACTAACAGCAAGGCACTGGGACGGGGCGTAGGTCACGGCCCGCCTTCACCCGCTGCTGGGCTCTTGCTCCCGGCTGCCCCCACCAGAGCGCAGGCTGCTTGGTGTCCCTGGTTCTGCTGAGTGCAGCTGCCCCTGCCCTGATGGTGAGCGGCGTCCAAGTCAGCAGAGCGTGAATGTAGTGTGCAGAGAGCACAGGACTGAGGGTGCAGCGGGACGACTTCCCTCTTAATTGTACTTTCTTGTAATTTAGTGTTTGAGATGGGACCCTCCTGTGCAGCCCAGAGCTTCACCTCACTGTGTAGCCTGGGCTGGCCTGGAACATGCACCATCCTCCTGCCTCAGCCTCCGGAGCGCTGGGATGACAGGCAGGCCCCTACGCACCCTGCAAGACTCCAGTCCTTTAAAACTACACCGTCCTCTGGAATTCCTTCAATGGTTTTTGGTGCTGTTTTCCCAGTGACACCCCCCAGCCCGCTGTGGTGGCCTGATCGGGGCTGGCCGTGTGCCCCAGGCTGGCCTCGAACTCTGCTGACTGTCCTGCCTCAGCCTCCTGAGTTCAGGGACAGTGGCGTGTTAGCCCGCTGGCTGCGGCCGGTCCGCTGACTCCGTTTTGTTCCCGAGGCCCTGCGTTCCGCGGGACTCAGCTGCCTCGCTCGGGGTCCTGAGCTTGGCTCTCCCCCCGCAGGCGGCTCGATGCCAACCACATCACCTCCGTGCCCGAGGACAGCTTCGAGGGGCTCGTGCAGCTGCGGCACCTGTGGCTGGACGACAACAGCCTGACGGAGGTGCCGGTGCGGCCGCTCAGCAACCTGCCTACCCTGCAGGCGCTCACGCTGGCCCTCAACAACATCTCCAGCATCCCCGACTTCGCCTTCACCAACCTGTCCAGCCTCGTCGTGCTGTAAGCGCCGCCCTCCGACCGCGCCCCGTTCCCAGTGTTTGAGACGAGGTCCCGTTAGGGAGCCCAGGCCGGGCTCCAGCTCCCTGTGAGTCTCCTCCTCAGCCTCCCGGGGGCTGGGATCAGCTCTCCTCAGCGTTTCGCTTCGTAGGAATTCAGAGCTGATCAGAACAGTGGCTTGCAGCTGAGTGCAGATTAAGTAATCTTCCTCCAGGTGTGGTGGCGCATGCCTGTCATCCCAACCTCGGGAGGCTGAGGCAGGGGGATTGCAGCAAGTTTCGGCCAGCCTTGGACTGCATAGTGTCTCAAAAAAAAAAAAAGGCACAAAAGGAAGGTGTCCATCCGTGCAAGCGCTGCAGTGTCACTGCAAGCAGCGGTCATAGTTGCTGTGAGGCGGGGAGAGTGACAGGCTCTTGGGGCCTCTCTCCCCACAGGCATCTGCACAACAACAAGATCAGAAGGCTGAGTCAGCACTGCTTCGATGGCCTGGATAACCTGGAGACCTTGTGAGTCCTGCGCGGTCGGCTCCTGGGCGGTGGCTGTGCTGGGGCCTGGCAGCGTCCCGCGGGCGGGAGCCGCTGTCCACAGAGCGTAGCGTCAAGTAACCAGGAACGAGTGCAGCCCGACGGTCACTGGCAATTGCTCCTGCGCAGATGCTGTGTGTGTCTCCTGCCCGGATCCTCGCTGAAAGCGGGTCACCCTGCAACGGTTCAGACCTTTCTCTTTTTTTGCCTTTTTTAGACAAGGTCTGTCTATGTAGTTCAAGCTGGCCTTCAACTCACCAGGCAGCGCAGGTTGGCAAGATCCCACAGTGATCCTCCTGCCTCAGCCTCCCAAGTGCTGGGATGACAGGCGTGTGGGGGCCGCCCCACAGGGCCTTCGGGTGGTTTGAATGAGCCCATGCGCTGCGTGCTGCCTGTGCTGTCACCTGTGGCGGCTTCACACTCTGTCTTGTGTTTCCGCCCCGAGTCTTGGGGTCCCTGGCTGACCCCACTGAGTGCAGAGGGCGGACGGGGGGCAGCTCAGTGACCCTGAGCAGAGCAGGCAGGTGCCTTTTGTTGGTTTGTATTCCTGCATTTACCCTTTGTTCAGAGATGCGTAGTATTTGCCGCAAGTGATGGAGAGTGTGCCTCGCCTTCAGTGTAGGACAGCACAGGTTCACAGTGGATCCATTAAACTGGGATTTCCGGGGGCCGCAGGGGAGGCGGCTTCCAGCCTCAAGGCCCCCCCTTGTGATACTGGCTGTGGGGAGTTAGGCACAGGGGCGAGGTCCTTGTGCAGCGGGGTGGCCGGTGAGAGCGCTGGGCTCGAGGCCGGGCAGTCCCTGCAGACCTGCAGCTCCCGCCCTCCAGCTTGAGCTGTGTCCGCTGCTTTCACATCTGTCAGAGGAGCCAGGCTGTTAACGCTGACTTCGAAACCGACAGTTCTGGTCACGTCCTGTCCCGCTGCTTCCGTTAGGGGAAATTTAAATTTTTTTTTGCGTTTCTGAGACAGGGCCTCACTATGCAGTTTAGCCTGGCCTTGAGCTCACTGTGGTTTTTGTTTTTTAAATTTTTTTTTTTCCTGAGACAAGGTCCCGCTGTGTAGTCCAGGCCAGGCTTGAACTCACTGTGCCGCGCAGGCGGCCTCCAACCCCTGGCGGTCCTCCTGTGAAAACCACTTAGAGGACTGTTCGTTTCATCTTCCCGTGACACGTCATTCTGAGCACTCTGCCCTCCTAAACGTGTGTACTGAGCGTGACTTTTTTTCTGTATTCAACAGTCCAAGAAAAGGTGTAATTCTGTTGGGTTTTCAGTGGCAATGAGGCGGATAAAGATGACCAAGAGATGGGACCTTTTCTTGACACCTGTGCCCCGAGGCTCAGGAACTGTGACTTCCTTCAGTGTCCTCACCTATTTTCCTGTTTTTTTCCAGGGACCTGAATTACAACAACTTGGAAGAATTTCCCGAGGCTATTAAAGCGCTTCCCAGCCTGAAGGAGCTGTGAGTAGCTGTTCTCTGTGCCTCGGTCCCTGCAGCTGAACATGCCCCTCCCGAAAGGACCGGGAGACCTGGCTTCTCAGGAGCAGTCACGTGCACAGGCTCACCCGCCCCGGTCCCGTGGGGTTCGCTGGGTTCCCGACCAGGTGGAGCAAGGCTTGTTTTACAGGGTTGGGCTCTGCTGATATATAGGTGTCGCGGTGGACAGCCTCCCTTTCGGGACCACAGAGCACAGACACACAGTATTTCTACTTAGGAATTGCTGGGTGCCGTGGTGTGGCGCCTGTCATCCCAGCAGCAGGAGGCTGAGGCAGGAGTGTTGCCGTCAGTTGGAGGCCAGCATGGGCCATGGAAAAGGCACACTGCTTAGGAGAGACTGCCACAGCTGCCTGCTAGCTGCCCTGCAGGCATGGGCTAAGACAGGAGGCGGTGGTCAGGAGATAGGCTTTGAAGCCGGCCTCAGACCCTCGCGGTACCCAGTCCTCTGGTGCCCCAGCCGTGGACACACGGCCAGGGCGCTGCCGGGTGAGCAGTGGCCCGGAAGGAGGAGGCTCTGAGCCGGACGCGGGATGCATCTCATCGCAGCGTCTCTTCTCCTGTCCGCAGGGGCTTCCACAGCAACTCCATCTCAGTCATCCCCGACGGCGCCTTCAGCGGCAACCCTCTGCTCAGGACCATGTGAGAGGCGGCTCCCCGCTTGCCCGCCCGCCGCAGGCCGCGCGAGGCCGAGGGCGGGGGCGGCTTCAGGGTGACGGCCCTGGTGAGCCCGGAAACTTGGATTTTTAAATTTTATTTTGATGTTTTCACAGACACTTATATGACAATCCTCTGTCTTTCGTGGGGAACTCGGCATTTCACAATCTGTCGGATCTACATTCCTTGTAAGTATTCGGCGGGCTTGAAAAGACACTGAATGTTCATACCGTTCTCTCCCGGAAGACCAGAGTCCCTTGTCGCAGCTTCAGGAAACAGACACCCCTGCTCAGGCGCCCAAGCCGGCAGCGCTAAGAGGGCGGAGCGTGCGGTGGGGCCCGGGGCGCTGCCCAGGCGGGCGGGCTTTCCTTTTGGCGCCGCTGACGCTGACCCCGCAGCGTGCGGTCCCGGCCCTTGGGGAGGCCGAGGCAGGGGCGCCGCGGCTCGAGCCCAGCCTGGGCCGTGGACGGCGCCCACAGCAGGGCCGTCTCCGTTCCCAGGGTCATTCGCGGCGCGAGCATGGTGCGGAGCTTCCCCGACCTGACCGGCACGGTCCGCCTGGAGAGCCTGTGAGTGTGCGGGCCGGGCGGCGTGGGTGGCGCCCCGCGACCCTTCCCCTCCCCGCCTCGGCGCCAACCCCTTCAGCGCGGTCTGCGGCGTGCTGGGAACGGGTTGCTCGCGTTTCCGTGTAGGGGAGCGGGGCGCTGTGCCCGTGAGTCCCGCGGGGTTCGCGCTGCCTGCCTGCGCCTGGCCGGGCCCCTGGGGGCAGCTGCCTCGGGTGTGGCATGGGGCCACCGCGGGCGTGGGATCCCCGTGAGCGTGGGGTGTCGGCGGGCGGGGGGGCGTCCCTGCGGGTGTGGAATCACCGTGAGCGTGGGGTCCCGCGGGAGTAGGTCCCATGGTCCTGGGGTCACCGTGGGGCTGGGGTCCCGCGGGCGTGGGGTCCCTGTGGGCCTTCGCCAGAGGTGAGCGGGCGGGCGTGGGTGTGGGACCCTGCTGCGGAAGTGCAGGGACCCCAATGCCAGGCGAGGGGGCCCCAGGCTCTGAGCGGGCTGCTGCGGGCGGCGGCGGCAGGGACCCGGTGCACACCGCCCCCCACACTGCCCCCCCCCCCGTGTCCCAGCCCCCGCGGTGAGGGGACAGAGGGCGGCGCAGGGCGCGGCCCGCAGCACCCTGAGCCGTGCATCCCGCAGGACGCTGACGGGCACGAGGATCGGCAGCATCCCCCGCAGCCTGTGCGAGGAGCAGCGCGCGCTGAGGACCCTGTAAGTCCCCGGGCCACCCCGCCCGCCCGCCCGCTGCCCGCGGGCCTCGTGTGAACGAAATAAAGCGGACCTCGCTGTTTTCCTTTCTCTTACCCCAAGCCCGGTCCTCGGCCAGGTCTCCCTGACAGTGCTGGCTCTGGGTTCCGCTCTCTCTGCAGCCTAAGCAGAGCCCACAGCTAACTCGCTGGCTCTTTCTTTGCTTGACTTCTCGTGTGTGTGCGTTTGCGTTTTGAGACAGGATCTCACTATGTAACCCACAGTGGCCTTGAACTCCTGGCGATCCTCCTGCCTCAGCCTCCCGAGTGCTAGGATGCCAGGTGTGCAGCACCTAGAGTGCTCTCGACCCAGGAGTGACCTAAGAATAGGGTGTTGGCTTTTTAAAACCTCATTTAAGCTGGCCCGTGTGTTTAGAGTAAGTAACAGCTGAAAAGTGTCACCAAGACAGTTAGGTGACTCGGTTGTTAATAAGTATTCGGTGGAAGGAGATAAGTATTCGAATGAGTGACTGATTAACTGAGCCTGTAATTAAATGGTGCAGCCACCTCAGACCTAAGCGGGAGCACCACTTCTGAGGACAAACTGCAGTTAATTACCGTGTTGTTTTATTGAACATAAATGTTGGAAAGATGTATGTAAGCCATGCACAGTGGCACACACCTGTCTTTCCAGCATTCAAGAGGCTGAGGCAGGAGAATCATCTTGAGTTTGAGGCCAGCCTGGACTACATAGTGCAAAGCCAGCCTGATCTGACTGTCCAGACCCTCTCAAAAACTAAAATAGTTCCCTGATAATGTGGCATTTATATGTGAACCTTGAACGTTTGCAGGGATTTGTCTTACAACAACATAAGAGATCTTCCGAGCTTCAATGGCTGTCGTGCTCTGGAAGAAATGTAAGTTGGTCTCTGGTCGCTCTTCCTGCTGTGGTGTATTAGTTGCGCTGAGCTGACTTCCGATTTGCATGGCTGGTTTTCAACTTAAGGAATTAGGAATTCACATGAACAGGGCTTCCTGGGAGCAGAAACTCGAATGTCTGGGCATCCCCGCCTGAGCGGCCCTCGGCAGGCGCTGGGCCCGTGGCACGTTCTGAGGGCTGCTGTCGGGGAGAGCAGCAGTGTCAGAACAAAACAGAAAAGTGGTCCTGAGTGTGGAGGGGAGCGGAGAGGGACACCGGTGTCCCCGTCCCAACCACCGCAGGGCAGTCCCTTGGGAGGCAGAAGAGCACCGTGTGAGTCTCTGCCCTTTGTCTTGAGACAGGGTCTCGCTATGCAGTTCAGGCTGGCCTTGAGTTCACTGTGTAGCCCAGGCTGGCCTTGAACTTGAGATGATCCTCCTGCCTCAGCCTCCCTGTGCTGGGATGACAGATGTGCCCTGCCGCACCTGGCCCCCGTGCTTCTTGTTATGGTCTTGTGGTCCCGGGCCCTTTCTCCCTGTCCTCCTCCTCTCACAGGGAGGCTGTGAGAGGAACGGAGACCCCACAGGTGTGACCTGGGACGGGAACCGGGGGCGAGCTCTGCCCTTCGGGGATGAGGGGCTCGTTCCCTGTGGTGGGATTTTGAACTTCAGAACAGCGCGGTGGAGTAGGAGGGCTCACCCTCTCTCTGCGTCCCTCCCGCCCGCTTCCCCTCTCTTCTCTTCTAGTTCACTGCAGCGAAATCAGATCTCCCAGATAAAGGAAGGCACCTTCCACGGGCTGGTGTCCCTGAGGACTCTGTAAGTCGCCTCGGGTGGTCAGGAACAAAGCCTTGTCCAAGCGCGGAGCAGTGCGTCTGTGACGGCCCTGGGGACGGGTACTTGGCGATGTTTCCGTGGCGGAAAGGCCGCGGTCGGGCCTCACCGTTCTGAGCTGGGCACAGAACCTACTTCCAGCACCCTCACCTTGCTTAGTGTTTCCCGTCCTAACCGCGAGGCTCGAGGGTGTCCGGGGCACGGGGCAGCTCAGCGGCGTGGGCAGCGGAGCTGCGCGGTCACAGCACCACCCGTGTGACCCACGCGGACGGCGCAGCCCTCAGCGCGGAAGGCTGGCCGGTCCCGTGCGGGGCGCCATCACTGCATGGCTCGGCCGCCGCAGCCGCACCTTGTGAAGCGCTGTTGCTGAGCGCAGGCTCGTCCCAGGCCCCCTGGGAAAGTCTGGGAAGACGGAGGGGACTGAGGCGGAACGTGCGGCTTGCTGCTCTCATAGGGCTTCCTGCAGAGCACGGGGCGCTGAACGCGTGGGCTGCTCTTCAGAGAAGGCAGAATTACAGCTGTTGAGTCTGCTGTTCCAGTCGGCTCCCGGTGAAGAAGCAGGCGGGCTGGGGTGCTCAGGCTGGGGCACCTGCCTGGCCTGCAGGGCTCCGGGCGGACCCCACACTGGAGGGGGAAGGGAGGAGAGGAGGAGAAACATACATCACGCTAAGTAGCGCTGGCAGTGAGCTTTGTGACTCTTCCTGGGGTTTAGGGTTATGGTCACGGTCAAGGTTGGGGTTGGGGTTAGGGGTGTGGTTACGTTTGGGGCTTAGGATTAGGGGTTATGGTTAAGGTTCGGGTTACCGTTAGAGGTCAGGGTTAGGGTTTGGAAGTTAGGATTAGGGTTAGGAGTTACGGTTGGGGGTTCGGGTTAGGCTGGGGGATCAGGTTAGGGTTATAGTTACGGTTAGGGCTTCGGGTTAGCGTTAACAGTGGGGGTGGACTGGCTTGGAAACGCCGTCCCTTCCAGATCTCGGGTGACGGTGTGAAGCTGGTCTCTGGCTTGCCCCCAGAGTTGTCCACTTGCTGTGGATCGAGTGTGCCCCCCGTTTAGTTTGCATGAAGGGCCTGGGTGACTCCTTCTTGGGCTCTGTCCCTCCAGAAGCCTTCAGTGTGAGCCTGAGCACGGAGCCAGCCCTAGGCCGATGGCTTTCTACTTCCTGCCCGGGAAAGAATGCTATCTGAGGCCTCCTGGAATTCACTTGTTTGCTTATTGATTGTTTGTCTTCCCTTGGGGCCCTATCGTTAACCTTTGAGAAGGCAAATAATAGGAAACCCGTTTTTATTTTGAGCTTTTTCCAGAGCTGGGTTCTTCTCGCCTGGCTCAGAGGACCAAAGGTTACCTCGTATCGCTTATATTTTTGAACTGGTACCAGAATGATAAAGTGGGGAAAAGTCACACCTGTTCTGATAGACGCCAGCTTGGAGTACGCGCCTGGGAGCGCGGCCTAAGAAACGGTGTGGGGAGGGAGGGGCCTCAGCACAGACAGGCCGCCTGCGGAGCCCAGGCCTTCGCTCGCAAGGGTATCGCGTTACTACCTCAGGTTCTAAAGCGCAGCCCAAGTACCGGGCTGTGTTTTGAGCGTTTCTGTAGGGAGATTAACATGCTGCTCTTACGATTGCAGGGATCTGAGTAGAAACCGGATCCATGAGATTCACAGCAGCGCTTTTGCCAAGCTTGGGGCAATCACTAACCTGTAAGTGGACAGCCCTCTCGCGAAGTCAGCAAACAGCGCTGCCGACTCCCGCGCTCACCGTGGACAGATCACAGCGTCTTTCCCGCGCCGCCGTCGCTCCCTGGCGTAGATGGCAAGGCGCATGCTGGGCCTGTCCTTTAGCCCTCTGCACTCCACTCAGGCCGCGGGGGTTTACGTGACGGTGTACAGATGCTCTCAGGGGAAGCTGTCTTGGGGAGTTAACCTGAAGTTCCATTTGCATTTCAGAGATGTAAGTTTCAACGCACTGACGTCCTTCCCCACGGAAGGCCTGAGCGGGCTGAACCAGCTGAAGCTGGTGGGCAACTTCGAGCTGAAGGGAGCGCTCGCACCGAAAGACTTCACGAACCTCAGGTGTGTTTCTGCTTATTTGCCTTTTTTGTTGCTGTTGCTGAAGTTACGGTGGGCTCTAAAATTACAGTGTGTCTCGGGTTTTTTTGCTGTCGTGCCAGATTTTTCTGGTAGGCTATAATTTAAGAATATTTTCTGCCTCTGTCCTTGCAAATTTGGTGAAAAACGGAACGTGAGCATTTCTCCACAGTTGTTGGGAATATAAACTGAAGTCTGATGCTGCCAAAGGAATCATGTTACGGAGCATCAGCAATGTATTACATCGTGACCTGGTCTCTAGCAACGAGAAGTCTGAAGCCATACACGTGTGAACCTGCAGAACACTACTGCAGCCCTAAGTCAGGCGTGGTGCCGCACACCTGTAACCCAGCACCAGGGAGGCTGAGGCAGGAGGGTCACCATGAGATTGAGGCCAGCAAGACCCTGTTTTTTAAAAAGCGGTATAATGCGGTAAAGCTGTAATTCTTCAGAGAGACATTATAGCCCTAAGTAGACACAACCCCGAGAATATTGCTGCAGGAAAAGAAAAGTACATTGCTGTGAACAGTCACTTCCCTCCGCGGTGTCCTCAGCGGTGACTGGGGTTCTGATTTTAAATGAAGCTACCAGTTCCAGCTGATGAGTTGAGCACGACAGTTTCCCTTCCAGGTGCACCGTTGTTACGAAATTTTAAATCTGGCTGGGTTGGTGCCCAGCTGAGACAGGAGGGGAGCAGCTTGCGTGCATCTTCGTGGTCCTGCTCGCCGCTGTCCAGAGCTCTTTCCTAGATGGGAAAGCAGGCCTGGCGGGAAGGAGGCGGGGCGGGAAGCGGCCACCGTCAGGCCCTCTGACTGCTAGGCCGGGGCTTTCTGGGGCGAAACGCCGCCTTCTACACGCCCTCCGCCCTCTCCCCAGGTCTCTGTCGGTGCCCTACGCGTATCAGTGCTGCGCCTTCTGGGGGTGCGAGTCCTACGCGAGCCTACACACGGAGGACGGCGGCCTGCAGGACCAGGGCGCGGGTGAGGACAGAGGTACACAGCGCGGCCGGGGTGCAGCGGGAGGAGGCGCCTGCGGGTCGCCGCCCTGCCCCCACTCGCCCCAGACCTTCGCGAGCGGAGTTGATGGGGCTGGAGAGAGACGGGGTCTTCGCGCGCGTGACCGGCGCCCTCCCTGCTCAGGTGCAGCGGGCGCGGGGAACGGCTCGGCCAGCGCGGAGCGCCAGGAGCACAGTCAGATAATCATCCACTGCACGCCGCCCACAGGTACGCGCCCGCACGCCCGCCCTGACTGCCCTGACGCCAGTAGGCAGCGGGGTGGAGCCCTGCGTCGGCCTCCTCTCCTCAGAAAGTGTGGTCGGCACCTGCAGCTCGCCACATCCCGCAGAACTTAGGGCCAGAGTCTCCCGGGGAGGGTCTGCAGGGTGGGAGAGTCTCTTTCTAAGTGCTTTGTTTCTGTTTTTGCTTTGTTTAGGTTTTTTTTTTGTTGTTTGTTTTTTTTTTTTGAGATAGTGTCTCCCTATGCAGTTCAGGCTGAGCTACTCTGTAGCCCAGGCTGGCCTCTAACTTGAGGGGATCCTCCTGCCTCAGCCTCCCCATTGCTGGGGATTACAGGCATGCACCACCACACCTGGTGGCATGGTCTTTTACCTCTAAGACTAATTTATGCTGCTGGTCTGTAATGACTCTTCAGGCTTCTTGTTATTTTGTTGTTCTCAGTGTACCCTCTCGGTTTCTTTCCGGTTTACCTCATTGCACTTAGTCTCAGGAAAGTTGCTAACCTGACTGGATTGTGATCCTCACGTCACATTCTGCTTTTTGGACCAGAGAAAATGGATAATAACTTTAAGTAAAGAAGACTAAGTGTTCGGGTTAACTGGTGTGCTACAAACCAGGTTCCTTTGTTAGTATGATGTCACAGTCAATGAGCTGAGCATTAATTTTATAACTCAGAATCCCAAGTGTTGGCCAGATGTGGTGGCCCATGCCTGTCATCCCAGCGCTCAGGAAGCTGAGGCAGGAAGGTCGCTGTGAGTTCAAGGCCAGCCTGGGCTACATAACAAGATCCTGTCGCAAAAATAAATAAATGAAACAGTCATGCCGCGCATTTCACTAGGTTGCTGGACGTGAGCTTCCGCGGGCTGAGTGTGCATTCTCTGAACGGGGAGCACGGCCTCGGCAGGCAGCAGACGGGTAGCGGGGCCGCGGGGCCTTGTCCGTGCTCTTTGGCACGCGGCGCCCCCAGGGGCAGGTGTGCTGCTCTGGCCTGGCTGGCCGCCCTCCCCGGCGCCCCGAGCCATGCTGCCTGCCTCTCCCTCCCTCAGGCGCCTTCAAGCCCTGCGAGTACCTGCTGGGAAGCTGGATGATCCGCCTCACCGTGTGGTTCATCTTCCTGGTGGCGCTGCTGGCCAACCTGCTGGTCATCGTGGCCACGTTCGCGGCCGGCGCGGCGCCGTCCTCCTCCAAGCTGCTGGTGGGCCTGATCGCCGTGTCCAACCTGCTCATGGGCGTCTACACCGGCGTGCTCACCCTCCTGGACGCCGCGTCCTGGGGCCGCTTCGCCGACTTCGGCGTCTGGTGGGAGACCGGGGGCGGCTGCCGGGCGGCCGGCTTCCTGGGCGTGTTCGCCTCGGAGAGCGCCGTGCTGCTGCTG